CTGCCCCAGCGACCTGGCCCTCTGCTGCGACAACCCCACTGCGCGCCGCATCAACATAGTGGTTGAATATGGATCCAGATAATGGCCTTTAGCCGTTTTCATTTAACACCACTAGAAGCTTTTACAAACGCCCGACACACACACATCCGTTTTCCATCATAACATTTCAAATATTCCTCTTCTTTTTCTAATTTGTTTTATTAGTGAATGAGGGTATTTCTCTTTTTAATCTCGATACATGTTTTTGTTTTCATTTAGGAAGGAGTATGGCTGTGAGTTCTGCGGGAAGAGTTTCAACCAGCGCGTGGCCTACAACATGCACGTCCGCATTCACACCGGCGAGAAGCCTCACCAGTGCCCCACGTGCGGGAAGACCTTCTCCCGGAAGATGCTGCTCAAGCAACACCTGCGCATCCACACCGGTGGGTACAACTTATCTGGAGCAGAGTGGGCATCGTAAGCCGAGGGCTCGCTCACGGCTCCAACCGACTTGCAAATGGTACCTGAAAGATGGAACTAGGTGGAGTTAAACTTTTAGGATCCTGGGTGGGTACCGCTGGTTTCAACCTCATACAGGCTTAATACACCCACCCTGTTTATGTTTATGGCACTATACGTGTCTTATTCGGTGCACAGTAAGAAAACATTTTGCACGTTTTGCCATATGTTGAACGACACCGGTCTCTTAGTCAAAATGTATATCAACGCGTAGAACAACAATGTAACAACCATGAACAAAAACTGTGAGGAGCGTCTATCACGTCAAATGTATAATAACGATGTGTGTCCCTGTGTTTCTAGGCGAGAAGCCGTTCAGCTGCTCAGTGTGCGGCAAGTGCTTCGCGGACCGGTCCAACATGACGCTGCACATGAGGCTGCACTCGGGCGAGAAGCCCTACCAGTGCACCGTCTGCTGCAAGAGCTTCACCAAGAAGCACCACCTCAAGACGCACATCAACTACCACACGGGGCTCAAGCCGTACGCGTGCGCCAAGTGCGGCCTCCACTTCTCGCAGTCCTCCAACATGCGCACCCACCACAAGAAGTGCAACGGGCCGCCCCCGGGGGTGGCGCCGCCCACTGCGGCCGCGCCCGCCCCCGGGCCAGCGCCCGCCACCCCACCGAGCGCGGCGCCACCCCCAACTGGAGGCGTGGCGACGCCCGCCCCGCCACCCCCGACTGACAGTGGCGAGGCGCCGCCCACCACGCCACCCCCGCCCCCGGGCCCGCCCCCGGGCCGGCTAGTCCTCTCGCGGCCCTGCGCCGCCCCCGGCGCCGACGCCCTCCACCTTGTGATATCCCCCTCCCCCGCGAAGCAGCAGGCCAGCGAGGCCGCCATCTGCTGAGTGCGCGAAAGCCATATTATTTTTTATGTTTAAATTTATTTTGTTATCATTGTCTTGTAAATAAATTTTATTTTTTTATTGTTATGACAAAGCAACTACGCCGTGAATGTGTATCTTTCCCTGGACTTGTCCCCATCTTGACTTACTCGGTCGTCAATCGGCCTCCATTCTCATGCCGCCACCGTCTTGCCGCCGCCACACATAAATACGCCCAAACAATGTGACACCCGCCGAGACGGAGCGGCCGGAGCTTGGGTTGGGAGAGGTTAGTCTGGTCTGGGCCCGAGCGGCCGGACCCGCAACCCGCCCATTGAGATCCTTATAAGAAGGCTCTTGATAATGTGCGGGGCTCCGTGCCGGGGACGAGGGGTACGGATTCTGGAGAAGGGGAAGTCGGTTCCGACTGATATCGGCCGGCGGATCGCGTAATAATCCTAATGGTCCCGTGATGACCGGTGAGGTCGCCCGGCGCTGGGCCCGGCTCGGGCCGGCCGACAAGTTTGGCGCAAAAGCTCGCGTCGCTCCCTTCCCTTCACCGAGCGCTTGCTCCCGGCCTAATGACGGGGAATGTTGGCCATGATTAAGTGGACGCTGCTCGTTGCTCCGAAGATCAATCAATGCAGCGGACGGATCAGACGCCGCTGCAGCTTGGGTGGCAATTTTGACACGTGTTCCCACCAACTTACCCCTTTAAGGAGCTCTAAATCACACTTACTTGCAGGGCACACGGCGCCCACTCGCCCCGATCACATTCAGGAGGCGAGTCGGTTTACCTCACGACCTCGCAGGACGCAGCACAAACGCTGGCGCTGTCGTTCGAAGAGTGCTGGCGCCACTATAGTTGAAATTTAAAAAAGAAAACACGTGTTTTTCTCTTGGGAACAAAATTAGAGTTTCGGGTTACACGCATGGTCGCATGGTGGTTCCCGGCTCTGAAGGCAGGGACCTTGCGGCTTCGCCGTTAGCTAAATTTCGTCAAGTCTCGTATCGCATAACAGCGATGTTGCGGCAAGAACAACACGGGCCTATCCTTCATCGGCATTCCCGCCATAACGCTCACTGCGACTCTGCGGCCAGCCGAGCACTACTGTGTCCGCGCGCTTATCGAGATGAATAAATTATCAATTTTGAAAACCTCGCGGCCATTTTCACGCACACACCGCTCCAGGTTTGTTTGTTTTTTTCTCGTTCCCCTAATGGACCTAGTCGGAGCTGACAAGGAACAAACGCAAGCCCCGCTCACACTGCGATTTCTGTCGATAGATAGGGGAAGGATCATGCTAATTGTCGGGTCTGAAACCAGACCGACCAGCGCGCTGGGCGGGGCGGGCGCCCGCCGGGCGGCTGGGCGGCGGATGCGAGAGAGGAGGTCCGTGCCAAGAGTTAGAGCCGCGCCGCGTCACATATCTGTCTTCGGCCGGAAACGGGACCGCAAGGAGTCAGCCATCAGAACTATTTGACGAGTATGAGAAACGCGTCGGGCGCGCGCGCCCTCCCGTCCCCGTCCGGCCGCTCGCAGGGCCGCCTCGCCTCGCGTCCAGTTCGGGCGCTTCGCTTCCGCGGGAGAGGAGCGGGCTTGCAGTGTCATGAAGCTGTTACACGGGGGGAGAAAGTTGATCAGTCGAAATCCACCCCAGACTTGTGCGGTGCAAAGGAAGGCGCGAGATTGAGATCAGAGCTGACGGTGCCGTGACTGGGTCGACTGGGTACACAGGCTCTCATTGTTGGCGGCCTCGCGACCCCTCGGCGGATGACGCGACAGCCTCGTAAAACAATCAATCGGGTCACAAAGATAATAATCCCTGTTTTGTCCGCCGAGGATTACACGGGCGGCCGATGGCAAACAGACAAGCGCCGGCTACCGCATTGTGGAGCGGCTTTTCATCGGGCCGCGCCAAACAGACGATTTGATGTATGGAGAGGGAGCGGTAGGGGGAGGAGGGGG